TTCAATCCACAGCAAATGAGAGTATAAAAAGGTGAAAAAATAGCATTTCTTAGCTTGAGCTCAGTAATGTGTGCCTGTGTGCTCTTGGGAACTGTTTAAATGCTCCCAACCATTGGGTAAAGTCCAGTTTGCAATCATATCATTCTGTTGATCTTTCTGTTCATTATGGACATGGTTAAACACAAATCATGGAAATAAATGAAGTCATGTGGGCTCAGTGCTTTGCTATTAATGTCACATGTTGTCTTCACTCCTTTTGCCAGCTCGTGTGAAGGCAGGTACTTGTCAGTTTTAGCAGCAGTGCTAGAAACAGCACAAATGCAGGAATATCTGCGCCTCTTGGTCATAGCAGGTGTCACAGAAATCAGGGATAAAGTGTCCAAAGTGCCCTAAAGACCTTGCAGTGTCTCTGCCTCTGTAATCTGGGCTTTGTAGATGGGAATCAGTCTCTGTGTCCATTATCAATTTCTCACACGCTGTGAAGGGTAAAACATTAACACACAAAGCGGGTGGCAAGTGGAAGAAAGCCTTGCAGGAGCATCAGTCAGCTGAGAACTTATTGTTGGAGGCCTTTGCAGCTGAGTACAAATGTGCCTTTTGTTTTCTGAATGCTGTGGGGCAGAATTTGAAGTTCTACAGGTGTGGGGCTTGTTCATTATTTCATAAAGCATCTTGAATTAATATCTTTAGCTTTCCCTTGATATTCAGCCGCTCGGTGGAGAGAAGTGTGTCTGGGAACACAGCCACAGAAATAACTGGAGGCACACTCAGTGCCCTGATTTCTGCTCTGTTGATGCTTTTGAGCAGTGGCCTAATGGCAGAATTGGCTGTGCTATTGTTGTTGTGGCTCCTGCCCATGCTGGAGAAGATGCCTTTGTACCAATGAACACCTGGTGTGTGGCTGCTGGGGAACATTAGGAGGGGCTGGGATTGTTTATTCCAAGAATGGCCCACTTTCCCAGCTATAAATACAGGGAAGAGAGGAATAAGTAACAACTCTGTTCAAATATCTCCCCAGGAGCAGGTACTGAGTGCTGGAGCATTCATTTTGAAAAAGTGCTGTTGGGAATTGAAGGCCTCTATTGCTTAGCATTTACTTCTTTAGGAATAACAGGGGAGCTAACTGAGGTTCGGCTGTGAGCACTGCTGTGGCATGAACTCAGTAATGGAAAATTCAAAGAGCTGTGTGATGGACTGTTACATGAATAAATGTGGTTCTTGTTTTATCTTAGCAGCTGAAAATGAATGCTTGCAAAATGCTGAAGGTCTGTAAATTGCCTTTCATAAGAAGGAGCTCAGGCAGGGGCTTAGTGATGGAATTGGTCCCCACTGTCATGGCTGGAGCAAAGAGGCAGCTGAACACAGCCTCCCTCCCTGCCTCTTCCCACACCCCCAGGAGGACTGGGGAGACAACCAGAGGAAATAAAACTGAGATTTTGGGGTTGAGTTAAAGAAAGTTCACTGAGACAGAAAAGGAAGGGAGAATAATAATAAGTAATAGGGGGAGGATGTTGACAAAAGAATTAAAACATCCAAAACAAGTGATGCATGATGCAGCTGTTCATGGAGCAGTGTCTGCTCAGTTCCTGAGCAGCAGCCCCAGCCAGCTTCCCCCAGGTTTATCCCAGTGTTTGGGGTTGGAAAGGACCTCTGGAAATCCTCTCATCCAGCCACCTGCTAACGTAGGTTCAGCTGAGCAGGTTGCACAGGATGCTGTCCAGGTGAATGTAAGAAAACAAATATTGATACTGCTGCAAATTAGTTATTTTATTAGCCTACCTAGTAGAGACTCAATGCAGGCAGTCTAATTTTCTGAATCTGGTGTCATAAATTATAATATTAGCTTTGGGTCTATTAGAACATCATCATATGAATGAGAACTAGTTCAGGATTTTAAGTTCATACAGTCTATGATTACCCCCAGTTTTACAGCTATATTCTGTCTTTTTCAGGTTTCACAGAATTTCATTAGTTATTGTAAAGGCTGAGATTTTAATGGTTCAGTGCATCAAATCTTGTTGTTTTCTTTTTTTTTTTTCATGGCTCTGTATCCAATTAAACTTGTAGGTGGCTGCAAGGTTTTTTCCATTAATAAACCCACATTATTCTCATTGCTGCTTCTTTCCAAAGCTATCAGTGGTTGACAGGCAGTGATCTTTTTCCAATCTTGGAAATGGGCTGTTGCTGTGGTAGAGGCCATTGCTCCCTTATGGAGACTTGCTTTCCTAAAGTAATCTAGAATTCGTAGAGCATTCCTTCTTCTGCATTTGCTTTGCTGTGTTTTGAGCTTGTATTTTTCAAATAATTACAATTTCTTAGGCAGACAATGTAGGAGACCTATTTGTAATTGAGTCCAGGTAATTAAAATCAAGCAAGGGAAACAAGTATATAAATGTACTTGTGCGTTCCCTTTTTATTATCTGTGACTTTCAAGCTTGGCTTCCTGCTCCTGATAATAATTTTTCCTGGTTTGTGTTTACCTGGCAGGTAAAGCAGTTTTAGCTGGTGAATGATATGTTGTCAAATTTGAGAGGAATTAGCTCTTTGATCTTGATAAGTGACCTGTTATTGCGTTTCTTTTTTCCACAACTTTTCCTGAGCTGCTGTTGTAACATAAACATTTGACCCCAGATGCCAGCCCAGGTTTGTGAGGCGTTGGGGAGTTGGTGCCTCCCGGGTGGTTTCCCTGGCGCTGTGGCAGGAGCCCCGTTTGCCAGCGGGCTGTGCAGTGGCACACCTTCCCCTTGGGATGTTTGGGAGCTGAGTGCTCGAAGTATTTTGGTGAGCCTGCCCTCTGACATTCACCTTGGGCCCTGGCAGGAGGCACAGGAACACAAATAGCTGCGGGGGGCACGGCAGTGGCAGTGGCAAGGGCTTGTAAATAAACCCAGGGCAGAGAGGAAGGAACAGGAGTTCCTAAAACTCAGAGAAAATGCGCAGGTTTTAAAGGAGAATACTTTTCTTGGATATCACATGAAGTTAAATTTGCGTTTGGTCCCACGCCCAAACACTTAGATACTGCAGACTTACTCTTCTGACAACACTAAGGAATGCTCTGTTTCTTTGGAAGTGCAGCTGCCATCTTCTGGGCCTTAATGCCCACTTGAATCCCTGGCTCAGGGAGCATTCACTGCTCTTTCTGCTGCCTCAGCACGGTGTGCAGGCTGGGAGGTACCTGCAGGCACCCAGCAAGTGCCTTCATTTCATACTGACTAACAGCAATTACTGTGACAAACAACTGAAGGAGTTAAATGCAGATTTTCATTGTTCTGATTTCAGCAGAGAACTCCTGCTTGGTGTCCATCAATATACTGGTGCAGTTTGGAGTAAAAACCTGAGAATACATAATGCAGTCAATAATAATGATGATGATGTAGATGTTACCTTCACGTATTGCAGCAGCATCTCTAAGATGTTTTTACTGTGATTTGAAAAATATCAGGTGTGCTTTTTTAATCAATACAGTTATACAGTTATACCCAATAAATTATATCAATCACATCTAGTGTCAGTTCAGAAGCTGTGATATAGCAGTTGATAGCAAAGAAATTTCAACTGTTTATGCATCATATTCACAGTTGGAGGTGAAGTTCTTTATTATAGCTGTGTTATTCCTGAAGAGTCGACACAGGATGTTTTTAGCACTTCATAGAAGCCTGTGGGACACCTTCCAGGTTTCTGGCTGTGCTGCCTGATCTGTAAATGTAGCTGGAGGTGGTACAGAGCAGCCTTGGAAAGCAGAGCTGGTAGTGCACCAGAGCCACAGCTCCCACACTAAATGTCCAATAGCCCTGAATTGTTGCTTTGCTTTTGAGGCAATGTTCACATTTTCGTCTTTGTTCTCACCCCAGCTTAGTTCAGTTTGCCTTGCAGATCATCTCCCTGCTTGCTCTGGGTAATGTGCCAAGTGCTCAGCCCAAGATTAAGTTACAGCCAGAGCTGCTGGACGTGAAGGTACTGTAACTGTAGATGTCTGTGCTTATGTTTCAGCCTTGCTGCAGCTGAATTCAAAAATATTCATGGGAAACCTCAGTATGGCAGAGTTTAACTTTAGAAAAAGAGCTTTAAGCTTATGTTGCAGATTTCTAGTTCTTTTTAATACTTTGAACTTCTGATTTCTTCTTTTTTTTTAGTAAATATGAAGGTAAAGAGGGTTAAGCTGACAAATTTTCTCATGCAAGTGGAGGAGGCCCTTAGGCCTCAGCAAGTATGATGGGTCAGTTGACAAGTAGTGACTAGCTCAAGAACTATCCCAGTTCTTAAAAGCATGTGCTAATAATCTGAACTGTTACCAGATGTAAAATTGTTTCACTTGTTGTTAGAGTTGACTGCAAATATTAGGAAGTATGAACTGCAGAAAAATGAAAATAAATAAGTTTTCCTTCTTGTTCTTTCCTTCAGATTTAAAACATGCTGTCAGAAACTTGAAGTGTTAAGTATTTTAAAGGTGGTGTTTGCTTTCTCTGTTTTATTTTAAATCTGTTGTTACAGTTCTCTTGACCTACATATCTAACTGGACACTTCGCAGTAAGAATTGAACTTCTTAATTCTAACATCTGATGCTAAATTTTTGACTCTGAAGAGTTGCTATCAAAGCAACTTTTTCTAAACTTGTTAATTTCTTAATATTTTCAAGATTCAAAGCATGTTCTTTACATTTCAAGCAGTTCTGTTTTCCAAAGTTGGTATTTTGGAATATTTATGTTGTCTATTGTAAAGAACAGAGCTTGACACAAGCAGTAGTATTTTATCTCCAGAAAAGACTGTTAGAGCTCAGTGATGTACAAGTCCAGAGCTCCAGCCTAATGCTCTACCCAAAGGTAAAAAACAAATCAATTCAATATTACAGTTTGGGTGAAAATATTAGTGGATCTAAATAAAGGAGACATTTTTTACAGATCCCATCAGATGATGATAATGTGATGATTCTTTAAAGCAAATACTCTAAACTATGTTAATCTTCATACTAACAGCAGCTGTTTTGCTTTCTTTTGATGCAGATCACCAGAAACTGGAGAGAGAAGCTAGAATCTGTCGTCTCCTGAAGCATCCTAATATCGGTAGGAACATTTCCTTGCTTTGTCCATTATTTATTGGTTTGGAAAATTTGGGGGAAATGGAAATTACCAAATCCGAAGAGCAGCTCAGAAAGCAAGTGCCAGTAACTCCAGTCAGGGCTCTTTCCTTGTCTCGTGGAGTTCCTTGTGAGTTCTGCTGTGGGATACAATGATCTGATGGATCACCTGCAGCAGTCGCAGTGTTCTCATCTCTGAGCCGCTGCTCTGCCTGAGCTCTCTGTGCCAGGGCTTTGGGGCCTTTGGAGCACTGTGCAGGAGGGGCTGTTTGCAGGATTTTCATGATTTTTGGAGACCTGCAGAAGAATTTCAGCTGACAGTGTCTGCTGCATGATGAGACAGACCAATGTGAATAATTAGTGCTGGTTTTAGTGAGATGCTTATTTTATATTTTGCTTTGCGCTTGAGATTCCGTCCTTCCAAGCTGAAGAAAGCTCTATCCTTTTTATTTCCAGAGTTGTGTGTTGTAACCATGTAAAGCAAAAAAATAAAGTTATTTTGGAGGGTGGGGTATGTCTGTCTCTTTGCTTTAGAAACAGTGTAGGCAGGTAAGTACCTTGAACTTAAGAGTGTAGCTGGGTTTTTCAGCTTTTCATACACTGAATTATATGCCAAGGGTATCTCTCACAAGAATATTTGCTGTACCTGAGACTTCTGCAGAAGGGGAGGAATTTCCTGTCTGTTATGGCATTTTTAGACTAATAAAATTGTTTGCTGCCTGCGATGACATAAGTTTTAGCTTTCATATTTTTCAGATTCTGTACTGCTTTGTTCTGTAACTCTGAACTTCATATAAAATGTTAGCAAGTTCTCCTCACAGGGTAGTCAGACCAAACAGTCCTTCTCCAGCCTGAGAACCAAGGACACTGTTGTAGTTTCAGGCCCAAAGAACTATAAACAATGGAGAATTGAGGAGAGCAGTCTGGGAGGATGGGCCTTGGTAATCTGAAACTGTAATTGAATCATTAACCCCAATATGTAAATGGACCAAACTGAGAAGAGTCTGAACATTTGTGAGCTGTCTTCCATCTTGCATCCCTTTTGGGTCCATCTTGGGCAGAGCCAAAGGTGGAGGTGGATCCTTTGAATAAATACCTACTTCATTGCTTTAACTCTGTCCAGCCTCTTGAGGCATCACCTGGGGTGAAATCAGCTCCTTCCTTGTAAGGATAAATAGGAGGTGAAAACAAGCGTACCATGGCTCAAAATGATACGTCAAATTTCTGCAGCATCTCTCTTAGGCTTACAGGTTTGACCTAGAAATTTGGCTAAGAAGGAAGAGGGAGTGTTATTTGTGCTATTTTATCTTACCAGAGGTTTTGCATTGTAAAATGGTGAGAGCTATGTGAATGTACAAGTGCTTTTAGGGAGGAGGTGCAGCCCTTCTGCAGCTGTGGTTACACACGTGGTGTAGTCAGACTGCAGAGCCATCCACCTGGGCCTTGCTAGAACCAGAATACATTTATGAGCTTCCACAAGTTGGGGAAAATGAACAAAAGACAAGAGTGAACTGATGCAGGGGAAAGGCTGAAATGCACAGAATTCAGTTGAAACAAAAGCCTAAATTGGTTCCATGTGGTCACAAGCCTTCAGTTTGCCAAGTGGCTTGTTGAGCAGTGTAGCATGGAGTTCAGCTCCTCTGGCAGGCCAGCTGTTGCACATGCACAGTTTGTGTCTGTGAGGTTTGGCTTGGAGTGCACAGAGGCAGTGACAGGCTGGGTGACAGGCAGGTAGGGCTCTGCAAGTCTGCACAAAGTGTTCTGCTCCTGTTTCAGAAATACTGCCATGTTCTAGATCTGGCTGAGAGGAGATTTTCATGACCCGGAATTACCATGCTGGGGTTTGGCAGCAGATGTTGTGTTCTGTCATGTTCCTTCTCCTGCAGCCATGCCCTCAGCCAGCTAAATGATCACCCTAAAATCATTCCAAGTGCTGCCAGCACCCCACTGGAGCTCCCATGCTTGAGTCACTATGACATCCCTGTTTAAAGTGTCATCTCTGGTGAGTAATGGAGCTGCATCACATCAGGAAGCACAAAGAGTGAAAAAGGAAGCGTGCCAGAGGAGGGGAGCTCAGCTCTTACAATAAGTATGTGTAAGTTAAGAAAAATAAGAAAAAAATGGTAACTGTTTTTTTCAGTGTGATTTCTGTAGGAAAGCAGAAGTCCAGTTTAATTGATGGGGTGGTTTCTCAAAGATGACCGTGTACAGGGAGTTATTTTTGGAAAGCTAAATAAGGCTGAATGTTAAATGGTTCTGTTTCTGTGCAGTCCTTACTGTCCATGTTCATAGCCAAGAAGTGTCATGGAAATCTTCCTTGAAGAAGTTGTTTCACTTCTATAAGCAGGGCTCCAGTACATCTCTGAAAGCTGAGCTTTTCTGTGCAGACACTGCTTTGCACATAATTAATTCTGTTAATTTTTCAGCATCTTTCTTCTCTTCATCCTTTTCATAAATCTATGATTTCTTCTCTGTCCAGCCTTGTATTTACGATGTCTAATGAATGGTGTAGGAAATACAAGGAAGCAGTGTTGGTGAGCATGTACCCACACAGGATTTGTCATCTTGGGTAGCTATTAATTTTCCAGAAGTTCCATGTGTACTAATGCTCCCATTTTTTTAATTTAGAAGTTTGGAAAGAAAATTGCTACGTAATAATCTCTTCACCAAGAAATCTACTGTCATTTTCCCGATTTTCTCCTTTATCTTTTTCTGGTAAACTTTGATTTCTTGGTCTTCTTTTAACTTGAGGCAAACTTAGTTTTTAGCACTCTGATTTCTAGTCTTGCAATGGACATTTTCCGTGGTGTAACACTGTGGCACCATCTTGTTATGACGTTTGGCATGGATTTACAGCTGCTTTGCTGATTTTGGTTTATGACATCCCAAATAATGATAAAATCTGCATTAGTCTGACGATACAAGCTCTGACCCATTCTGGAAAACTGCTGACTCAAACCTGGTGAAACCATGGAATTTTTTTTCCCGAGCAGAGTTTGCTCTTGCAGGATTTGTGCTGTGTTTAGGTAATGTTTTCTTAATGGTACTTACACAGTCAAGATCTCTGTAACTCCTGGGGGGCTTCTGCTGGCTTTGCATTCCCAAAGTTGGCACTGCTCCTCACCACACTCTGTGCTGGTGTCTAGCTTACTGAATCCTCCTGCCACAACAAAAAGGTAGGAAAAGCCTGCATTTTGGAGTTCCTTCCCACCGTAACACAAAACATGAACAGTCAAGTTAAGTTCCTCATGTGGGAAAAATAAGAAACTGTGTGTTGCCTTGTCCTTTTTGAACAGAAAGTAATTAAAGCTGGGGGTGGGTGTGGTGGTGTCTCCTTTGTGCACAACAATATGTCCTTTATGTTTATGTTCACCAAGTATGTGCATGACACTTCATAAAGTCCCAAGAATCTCAGGAGAAACTCTATTAATATATAGAAAATGTGAATGCAGTAACTCCTTTCTGAATTAAGTTTGTCTTGCTGTGGCACAGTTGTGAGTAGCTCAGCTGGCGTTAGTTAAGTTACTCTATAAACCAAACACAGGGTAAAAATCAGGCCTGTTCAGATTAAGTGGATGTAGTTCTTTAGCACAGTGTTTTTTCTGAGCTTAATTTAAGGTTTTACTTTATGTCAAAAATATATAGTTCTTTCCTGGTGCAGTGCAACTCAAACCAATCCCCAGCTATATAAATTTATGCTCGGTGAATATGGTCCTCAGGGATGTATTAACTATAGCTATGCAAATAAATAAATAAATAAAACTTTTAATATAAATCTGAAGCTTTAGTTTGCGTGGGACTGATGCATTAGAGAATCTCACTTCCTTTTTAATTATTTTTATTGCTTACATGAGCTGATCACTTCAGTAATTTTAAATCTCATCCATTCTGTTGAATTAATTAAATTTGCAATTCCTATGATGAATAAGGTACACCGTAGTCCTTGAGAGAATTAAAATAAAATATCAAGAAACCAAATAAACCAGTGATATAACATGATTTCATATTTAAGAGCCCATTTAATGAGTATTCTAAAATAACAGATTGAATGTTTAAAGTCAGCCATGGCTACAGCAAGTAACTGACTAGTGAAGTGCAACAACAGAACACAGAAGCTGGTTTTGCAGTTGCTATTTGTGAAATTAAATGTACTGGAACGAGACTGCACCAGGCAAGAGCACACAGGGGGGCATAGTGGGGCTTGTTGCAGCTGGGTTTTCTGCAGCCTTTCTCCTTCTCAGCAGTTTTTGTTACTGCTGTGCATCTGATTCCTTTTATTGCTGAAGTTCTTGGGAATGTATGTTGATGTTCAAGAGGAAGAGCCTGAAAGTTTTGACTTGTGTAGTTGGAAGGGTTTGGTGTGGATGGGCTTCCTCCCTGAAGTGAGTGGAGTGTCAGAACCCCCCACAGTTAAAAGATGAAGTTATGTAGTGCTAGTCAATGTGTCAGTGATTTTCAGCATGAGCCACATGAGGCATCAGCTAATGTGGTCTGAGTGCCAGCAAAGGAGGGGAAGGCAGCTTTATTTGGTGTCACAGCTTTTGTCTCTTTTGTTTGCAGCAGAATCCTTTTATTCTGCTAAGTGGCATTGCATCTTTAAGTTTTGCTCTTCTGGGTTACTGTGGAGCATAAAAATGTCTTTGAGTGCAGACAATGACACCACTCTTTGCCATGCTACATTAATTCTCTTTCCTTTTAATGGAGCACAAGGTTATTTTAGCTCAAGTGAAGCATTGCTGGCTGCAATATTCCTGATAACTGTAGCAGGATCCATAACAGACCAAGGAAATGAGGTTTCACTAAGGTTTGCCACTGATTTTGTAATTTTATGCCTCAGAAAGTACATGCCTAATTTGCACCAAAATAGGTAATGATTCAGTATAAATCAAGTGTGAACCAGATCCTGAAGCATTTTCCATTCCTGCTTAAGCCTCTGTTTCTATGTTTCCTTAAATGCATGAAAGTTCTTTTCCTAGTGTGTCCAGG